AACAACAACAACATACTTGTGAATGGAGCTTTGGTGGTGTAGTGCCTAAGGCATTTGACTGCTAACCAGAAGACTGGTGGTTCAAACCCAACAGCCACTCCATGAAAGGAAAGTTGGGCAATCTATTTCCTTAGCGATACTGCCTTGGAAACCCAAGGAAGGGTCACTATGAGTTGAATCAACTAGACGGCGGTGAGGTTTTTTTTTTATTTTTAATACTTGTGAATGGAATCCTAGTTGGAAATAGAGTTTTCTTTAAGTAATTAGGTTATATCAGTGTAGGGTGTGTCCTAAACCCTAATCACTTATAAATTATAAAAAAAGCAGATTAGACACAGAGGTGAGTGCAAATGGGGGACGAGAGATGCTATTGGAGGATGGACAAAGAAGTGGAGGAATGCTGGAAGAGACGAGGATCTCCCCAGAGCCGACACAGAGAGCACCTTACTCTGGAGCACCAAGCCTGAATTTGAGCTTCCAGCCTCCTAAATCAGGAGAAAGTGATTTTCTCTTTTTTAAGGCAACTCATTTGTGGTCTTTCTATTTTAGCAGCATTAGACATCTAAGACAGTCAATATACTACTTTTGGAGAAAGTACAGAAAAATGGGATGTTAAAAAAAGAATCCCATTAAGGCAACTTGCTTTCTTGGTTTAGGGCTATTATCAGTTAGGATACGCTAGACAATGATATAGGGAGCTCTGGTAACATAGTGCCTAAGGCACTTGACTGCTAACCAGAAGGCTGGTGGTTCAAACCCACCAGCCACTCCTCGGAAGGAAGATGGGACAATTTACTTCTGTAGTGATACTGTCTTGGAAACCCAAGGAGAGGTCACTATGAGTTGGGTGCGACTCGACCGCACATAACAACAACAACAATAGGCAATGATGTGATAACAAACATTGCAAAATCTCACTGGCTTAACAGAACTGAAGTTTATTTCTTGCTCATGTGCAGAGTGGCCAGCAAGAAACTCTAGTCATCATAAAACTCAAGCATCTAGGCTGGGGGCACCATCTCTACGCAGGTTTCCATGGCCACTGTTGCAAGGGGAAAGGAATACGGCAAACTGTGTACCAACTCTAAAAGTTCTACCTGGAAGGAACTCCTGCCACTGAAACTTTCATTTTATTGGCCCAAGTAAATTACAAGGTTACATCTATCTTCAAGGCAGGGTGAGGAGTTGCATCCTGCCAAGTGATTAGAAAAAGAAGAATTAGAATATTTAGAAACAACCCTAATGGTTACCAAAAGGGATTGGTCTTTTAACTTCACCCAAAACTGGAAGAAAATATAAAGCAATATACATGTTTTCTGAATCTGCCCTATGTAAACATGGTGGGTGAAAGATTCATCAACGGATTTCTTGACTAAAACGATCTGGATGTCATGCTTATAAATACATCACTGATGTTGGGCTAATCAATCTAAGGTAACTTCAACTACACTGAACATTTTTGTTAAAAATGTGCTAGCTCAGCTGAGCATGTCAATTATAATTACAGATTATGAAAAGAAGGTCAGAAAGGAATTCTAACCTGTTTCTGATTCAACTGAAAAATAGGGCTGTCCCT